ATCACTCACAAGTAAATTATGTTTCTCAGTAATAACTGGAGTTTAAATGGAGACAGAGGGGAGCAACTGTTTGTGGATACTAAAGTTTAGTGACCAAGGCATATTTGTTGCAGTAATCCTTAAACATGCAGGAAACCTTGGAGTGGCTGTGTCATGGCTTTTCATATTTTCATAGAAATATCACAAGTAATTTAATACCCTTGAACATATACCATATGAATGACATCAGTGTTAATAGTCATGTTCAATACATGCTAATCATTGAAGAAAATATTAACTTCAGCAAAATGAATTTAAACTGTCCCTCAACAATATGTCACTTTTGCATGGTGATGCCACATACATCTGCTGATGTTCAGGACATATGGGGAGTGCACCAGGCTACGATGAGAATTCATAGGAGAAAAGAAAACAAGGCTATAATGCTCATTTTAATTTGAGCATTTAATTTACCTTCCTGTTGAAAAAAAAAAAGAAAAATCACTGTAAAACCATATAGCAAACACTTAGAATGTAACTAAGGAGTGACCTGCATTCCATAATGTGTACCAACAAACTCCCCATCTTTATTCACTCAACAGACACATACAGTGTCTTCCGTATGTGGGGTTCATGCTAGGCACTGGGAGCACAGGCATGGAAAGAGCCCCTATGCTGCAGGGCAGCCCAGCAGACAGATGAGAGTATGCACGGGGTGGCCAAGAAACCACAGCAGGTACGCTGAGGATGGGGTGGGGGGCAACAGCCCAACCTGTGGGTGTGGTCAGGCAGGCAGGCAGAGGTTCATGGAGGGGCAGTGCCATGGGCCAGGGAAAAGCAGTGGTACAGGCATGGGGCCTTGAGAAGCCAGGTGGGTGAGAAGGCCTGCAGCCCAGAGGAGAGCCAGGGGAGTGACAAACGGCCGAGAGCATGTACAGGCCTCAGCAGCTCCTCAGCAAGGTCGGCCTGAGGGCAGTGGCCACCTGAGGGTTTTAAGCAGGTGACTGCCAGATCTGGTTCTCACTGTAGAAAGATGAACTTTTCAAAAGGTAGAGGTAAGCTTGAAACAGGCAAGACTGGGTGCTGGAACTCAAGAGAAGCCCCCTGAGAGTTCTGTAAGGGACGATGAGAAATGAGGGCCGGTCTGGATGGGGGGTGGGGCTTGTAACCAGGTGTCTGTGGAGGAGGAGGGGCAGGTCTTGGTGGACATTGCCAGCCCTTGTCCCCAGCAGGCACAGCAGCCCTAAAGGGGTGACAGAGATGGTGAGAAAGGCAGGTGATGGGGCTGCTGCTTCCACACCTGCCAAACGAGAGGCCTCAGGAATGTCTCTGTGGAGGCATCTGCTAGGAGGGTAGGCAGAAGGAGCTGAAGCTCAGAGTGGAGAGATTGGGCCACAGACACAAGTGCCGGAGGCCCACTAGTACATTAAATTACTCAAAGTCTGAGGAAGACAGAGTCCTGGGGATTCTGGCTCCACAAGGTGGCACAGAGGAAGAGAAGCCACCCCACACAGGCAACTGAGGGTACTAGCTGGCAGGGATCAGAGAGGCCCTGCAGGACAGTCCCCGGAAGAGGGGCCAACAATGGGACATGAATACAGGAGGAGCGCATCTACCACATTCCCTGCTGCAGCACTAGAGGTGGTTCTGGGGAAGCCTGCGGGACGGTGAGGGTGCAGGCGGACTTTGCAGGGCGAGAGGCCATCCGATGCAAGGAGACAGATGGGACTAGCATGGAATCTTTGAGGACACAGACAACTTTTTAAAAAGATGGGTTGTAAAGGGGAGCATAATGAAGAGTTGTTGGGTAGGGACTAGATAGGGTGACTGCTGTGGCTGCTTCACTGTCTTATGTCCTAGCTCCACCCTGAGTCTCAAGAGATAAATAACTGGTCATCTTACGATAGCTGAAATTTAGAACAAGTATTATAATTATATGAAAGGCACTGAACCAGATGTTACAACAGAAATGACTGAAACTGCCTGTTTGCAAGGAGCTTAAAAGCAGGATGGACATGTACATGCACATGTGCACACGTGTGTTATGTGTGCACACTTGGCCAGCCATGGGCTCCTTTATTTCTGAATATGTGGGATTGGCAAACTACTTCCATAAAGTGTGGTGCAGCAACACTCAGGCCTTTCTTTTCCCATGAGACGATTTAAATACATGATCGACAAGAGGAGGTGCCCTAAATGGGAGAGAAAAGCAGTCACTGTATGCCATTCCTCTCAGCGTTTTGAACGGAAGGGGCAAGCAGGCCAGCCAGGGAAGAAGCAGGCATCAGGTTGGTCCACAGAGCGCAGGCTCTTTCTGGCTAGTCCTTCTAAGACTGAGGAGAAAGGGTAGGTAAGTGACATTCAGTTCTGCTCAGACCTGTCAAATTGCAAAGAGGCTTGGGGAACAGTTCACCCGCAGAGGGCTAAGAACCCAGTGTGGACAGTATCTGAGTAGGCACATCTACCCTGAGTAGAGAATAGAGAGATTTTACTGAAAAACACTTTTAGTGTCTGCACCCTCCAGTGTCTGAAACTTATAAGTTCCTGCTCCATAAAGAGAATTCAAAAATCTGAAGTCCAGGAATGCAAAAGGAATCTCCTCACATCTTTGTTTATATATTCCCCCTGTTTTAGGAGAAAGAAAAGCGGATACTAAATAAATGAATAAATAAATACGTGTTATGTACATGTGCTTAAGAATTATGAGAGAGGTTAAAAGGTCTAATGGGGGTCAGAGAGCAAGGAAACAATCCTCTCAGGTGATGGAAGGAGGCTTGGGAAAAGCACTCCTCTCAGAGGTGGCCCTGCAACATGCACAGCCAGCCAGTAGTAATGGCTGGGCAGCAAGGACACTGGTAAGAGGCACCATGGGAGTTGCAGGGGGTCATCCATGCAGCTATTGACCAAATATTTACTGACCAGGCACTATGTACCAAGCAGCTGTCTAGACAGTGGAGACAGAATCAAGGAAGCAAGACTTCCTATTGCAAATTTGCCAATTCTTTACAGACTTTCGTAGTAGCGTTTTTCACCTGAACTAAATAAGGATATTGTTATCACTCCTACTCTATACATTCAAATGTTTTTCTGCAGAAATCCCTGCTGGGGATGTGACCTAATATATAGTACATACACTATATTATCTTTCTAAAATCCAAAACTATTGGAATTCCAAAAGTCATCTTGGCTCAAGAGTTTTGAAAAGGGATTGTAGATCAAAAGTTTCAGAGGCTATTGACTGATGTTCTTAAGAATAATTTGTGGCCAAAAATCATGCTTGTTCACTTAAAGTCATAAACCATACTTACCATAGAAGGTTGATTTTATCCACAACCTTGTGGTAATTGATCTATTATGACCTCATGGATTTAGCTTTAAAAAGCGCCACCAGCATGAAGGCTAGTGCTGGAACCACGTGCATTCTGCTTTATAAATAATTTTACAAATAAAATACGAGTTATTTTCACAGGTCAAATCTAAAATCCCATGTCTATTCTCCACTGGCCGTGTCATTTTTTCAGGTAGGGTGGCTGCTGTGGTGATACTCAGCTGAGACCTGAATGAGAAAAGGGTGTGAGGATGTCAGCCCATGGAGGAGGAGTGAGAGTTATTTCTAAGCCAAGGAAAAAGCAGCCTGGAAGACGCCCTAAGGTGGGAGGACCTGGGAAATGTGGGCAACAACAAGGTCCCCTGCGCTGGGTATGGCTGCGGAGAGGCAGGGACAATGGGGGGTGGGAGGGGGTGCCGGGCAGGGGCCTGTAATGCCATGCCTTACAGATTTTACTTTAAGTATAATGGGAAGATAACGAAGGATTTTAAGGAAGATATTGATAGGATCAGATATGAGCTCTTAACAGGATATATTTGGGACCTGAAGTATGATCTAGTTTGGATTACAGTACAGTATGTATACAGAAAAGTAATGGAGTTTAAGCAAAGAAGATCAATTTCAGCCAGCTATAGGCAGAAGGCTTCAGATGAGAATAATGGTTAAGATTTGAGAAAATTAAATGTCTGTGGTCACACAAAATATTAATTTAATGATTCCGGTTTTTAGCTTAGACTTTTGGCATCACAATATTCTTATCATCTAATGTAAACATTATATAATAAAAACAGGCAGTGCTTAAAGAGTAAACAATTTTATCATGATCTAATAAATGCATTATACAATAAAAACAAAAGGTGATTAAAGTGATTAGTTAAAAGAATGAACTCAAATCTGTTTAACAATTGACTGGTACATCTACAGGTACATATCCAAAAAGAACCTATGTCTAATATGGGCATGACCATTCTTATACAAGATTATTTCTGTGTAAAAATCTTACTAGCTTGGTTTTATGTATTCCATAATATTTTAAACAAAGAAATATTTGACCAATCAAAAAGTTTATCTGATTCAGCAAGTGATAGTTATTTTTGAAATATATATTATGGAGTGATTTATATGACTCATTTGACATCCAAAAGATAATACTGGAACTGTGTCAGTCATCCTTCTGTGGTTCAATTTTCTGTGCTAAATTACTATAATAATCCTAGTCTTACATATTTTTCTTCTATTATTCACCTTTTCAGCATCAATAATCAAGTCTACATAGAAGTGACCAAGTTTCTTTGGTAAATTTTTTGATGATGGTCACAGTCATTGCAGAAAACTGTTGCTCACAGTCTGTTATATCTCTGCAATAAAGGAATATTACAGGAAGCAAAGAACATTACCAAAATGATCAAATATTATAAGGTACGATCAATTAACTCTCTGGAATTTAAGAATAAGCTGTTAAGCATTCATAAGAAAATGTGTAATATCAAATGAATAAACTCTAAACTATCAAAGGATGGGTTTAGGCTAATAAAAAGTTACAAAACAAACTAATAGCTCAGTAAATATGAGAAAAATGTGAATAAAAGGAAAGCACTTTAAGCACACATTAACTGATAAAAGCATATCCCTATTCATTGCTCTAGTTGCATTAGTTACTTATAAAGAACTTCACTGACTTGAAACCATTTACCTGTTGGAGGAAGGCAGTCTTTCCAGTCAAAATAGCCTGCGTAAATGCCAGGTTCTAAAGAGCCAACGATGGGATCTGCCTTCAACTCAATGTAATTTTCAAAGAGTCTTTGGTCTAATTCTTTCAATGAGGCCATGCTAACCTATAAAAACAAATTAAGAATAATTACAAGTTGTTTACTTGAGGGTGAAGGAAAAGGTATAAATATTAAAGATGAGTATATTTTAATAGTACTAATTTTCCTACAAAAAATCATAATTTTTATTTTATTTATTTTCATTTAAGACCACTCTTAGCACAACTTTTTAACAGGATAAGAATTAATCCCACGTATGGACTATCAGTTATCATCACAGAAATTTCGACCATGTGAATTACGAGTTCCTGCTGGTATTAGCAGCAGAACGGGGCGAGGAGGTCAACATTAGTCCTGCATATCTGGGCCTGGTTGGCACCCAAGAAGCCAAGGAGTTGCAGAGTGGGTGGGTACAGTCTGGGGAAGGTATGAAGTCTGGGGGGGCGGGATCTGTGGGCCCAGGTGCCTCTGCAGTGGACTGGTGACCTGAACACTTCTACACCACTGGCCCCAGCATACAAGCGTCTCTCCAACACCAGACCTGAGTTTCAACAAATTGACAGTGAAAAACAAACACACATCTAAGGAGTCTAACAGCTATAAACAGGCATATCTGCCAAACACTGAAATTCAGCTGTGGAAGAGACAATCCCACAGCTGTGGGATTATTTTTTTAATTAACTCTCTGGAATTTAAGAATAAGCTGTTAAGCATTCATAAGAAAATGTGTAATATCAAATGAATAAATTCTAAACTATCAAAGAATGGGTTTAGGCTAATAAAAAGTTAGAAAACAAACTAATAGCTCAGTAAATATGAGAAAAATCACTTTGAACCACTGTGTTGTATATCTGAAGCCAATATAAAATTGTATACCAATGATACATCAATAAAACAATAAATAAAATACATAAGTCACACAGATAAACATACAGCATAGGGAACATAGTCAATAATGTAGTACCTTTGTATGGTGACAGTTGGTAACTACATTCATCATGGAGAGCATTGAATCATATATGTAACTCTTGAACCACTGTGTTGTATATTTGAAACAAACATAGTATTATATATCAACTATATTTCGATTGAAAGAAAATCTTTTCTCCTTGAAAAAAAAAAAAGACTTCATGGAGATGAAACATAAGGTTTCCAAAGCTAACAACCGAGCAGAGTGACTGAAGGAACTACTGGTCACAATTAAGACTGAAACTATGCACAGTGACTACTTCAAAGCACAGAGTGAAAATGCAAAGAGCTAGAAATTATGAAGGAAGACACTTAGAACACAGATCCAGGAGCTCTAATATGCAAAAGAAGTTAAAAATAAAAAAAATAAATAGGAAATGCAAGAAGAGAAATACAAGCAGTTAGAGAAAAGGAAATGATTAAACAAGCAATAGAAGAAAATATAACTGGATCTAAAGACAGAGTTTACAATTTGAATAGGCTTTCTGAGTTCCAGGCTGGTCTGAGGAGAGACTGCAGACATTTGGGCAAATACTGCTAAAGGGCTTAACTTCTAAATAATAAAAAGAGAGAGAAAATCTTTTAAGTTTCTGGATCAAAAAATAATTCACCTACAAAGGAGAAAGAATCAGTCTGACATTTCATTTCTCAGATGCAACACTGGAACCTAAAGTCACTGGAAGAGTATCTATAGGAGTAAAAGGAATGAAACCCAAGAACCCTGTATTTAACCAAGATATCATTTGCTTAACAGAGTCTAAGTGGCATATTTTTGGATATGCAAGGATTCAGAGTATATTACTCAGGTACTCAAGGAAGGGTTCTGCTCTAAGAGCATTACATTAGATCAAAGAGGATGGATCTTTGATCCATTACAAGATTTCTGAGAAAACAATAGCAGGCAAGGAACTTTGTTACCTTCTATCCCCCTGCAGCCCTCTCTTTCTCTATCATTCAGAAACATAAACCTAAGTAGAGGATTAGAGAGTGCTTATTCTTGAAGGAGAGGAGGACTTCTTTCCCAAAAGGGAAATACTAATAAGAACCTAAAATAACACTGAAAATACAGTAGATAAAAATCTGTGTGACAGAAATAAAGCAGAGGGTTTTATAGCTAAAAAGGCATCTATTAGAAAGAAGAAAAGTTTAAAAGAAGAGAAGCTAAAATTCCTGCTTTAATCTTCTACTCCAGATAGCTAGAAAAGAGTAAAACTCAAAGAAAGTAGAAAGAAAAATCAGGATAAGAGCAAAATGAATCAAACTTTTAAAAGATTAATATTAGAGAAAAGCAATGCCAAATGTAGGTTCTTTAAAGAGTTATTGTAGGTTTATATCAGTAAATCTGACAACATAGAGGAAATTGACAAACTTCTGAAGAACTTAACTTTCTAGAAATGGCACAGGTAGTCCTATATGTAATAAAATAATTGAGTCCATAATTTAAAATGCTTTTCACATAAGAACTTAAAGAAGAAATTATATCACACACAAACTTTTTCATAGAATAGAGCCTGAGATATTTCCTATTTTGTTTAATGAGAGCAAAACCTTGGTATCAAAAACTGACTAGTATATTGGAAGAAAAGAAAATTACAGCCCAATAGCCCTGATGAACTAAGACATAAAAATCCTAACAAACTGTTGGCAAGTTGAACCTATACATAAAAAACAGAATATATTAGACAAAATTGGATTATTTCAATAGATGTGAAATAAGTACTATATCAATGTCCCCTCACCACTTATATTCAAGATAGTACTAGAGGGCCTAATCCATGAAATACAGTAAGAAAAAATATGAAGAGAAGTAAAACTTTTTTCAACATGTGTTATAAAACTATAATAATATATGTATAGTTATAATAATAACACAATAATAATTAACACAATGTAATAGTTAATAAAGATAGATCATAGATCTGAATACAACAGCTAAAACTACAAAGCCTCTGGGGGAAAATATTCAGGGCAGTAGAGCAGATAGAGATTTTGGCAGGATATAGGATATAAAAGCCTTAAACATCTTTAAAAATTGATAAATTGGATCTCACAAAATTTTTCAATTTCTACTCAAAGGATATCACTTATAAAAACAAAACAGCAAGTCGTAGACTGGGAGAAAAATATACATATCTGACAAAGGACTTACATACTGATTTTTAAAGGTCACTAATAAGTGAACAACCCAATTAAAAAATGACCAAACAGGCACTTCAAAAAAGAAGATATCTCAATATGAATATCTAACTGCATGAGAAAAGGTACTTAACATCATTATTTGTCAGGAAAAACCTATGAAAGCAATGAGATTGGCTAAAAAAGAAAAAAGAAAACAAAACATTAAGGGTTAGTAAGGATATAGAACAACTGGAATATTCACACATGCTGGCTAAATGTAAAAATGAGACCCCCTAATTTGGAAACTATTTGGAGTTTCTAATCAACTTAGTCTAGGACCAGCAATTCCACCTCTAGGTATACATCCAAGCAAATTTCCACCAAAGGCTATTACAGCAATGTTCACAGGGACTTTATTCATACAAAGCTAAAACTGGGAAACAACTTAATGTCTACTATCATGAGAATGATTAAATAAAACTGGGTCATCCAAATTCAGCAATAAAAGAAAGCAAATTACTGATAGACACATAATCTGGATGAATCTCAAAAATTATTAAGTTGGAGCAAAAGCAGCTGACAAAAGACTAGAAACTGTGTGGTTCCATTTTACATGAAGTTCAAGAACAGGTGAAACTAATCTATGCTTAACAGAAATCAGAATGGTGGGGAGGGGGCGCCTACTGACTGGATTCGAGCAGGGGTAGATGTGTTCTATTGGGATCTGGGTGGTGGATGCTGGGATGCATACATGGGCACTATGTCACCAGTTTTTACCTTTACAATCTATATATATTTGTACCTTAATTTTTGAAACAGTGGTTGAAAATAAATGGGTGAGCAGACGGATATTAGGCAAATGAAACAAAGACAGTGGCAGTACTAATGTATGACAAACTAGGATGAAGGTCAATACTACTCAACTCAAAACTTTGTTGTAAGAATTTAAAAAGAAAATTAATGAAGTGTGTTTAGCACACTTAAAGTACATAATAAATGCTAGCAGCTATTATTATTAATTCAACCGCCCTGTTAGTTTTGCTTGACCCTACTTGAAATGCATGGAGAAGGTCCACTACCTGTCTAGTGATGAAAGTTAAGTGGGAAACATCCTGTTACTAGGAAAATTACAGTCTATTCCCTAAGAAATTGAAGACAACATTTGTAAGATCATATACTTGCAGAGCATGGCTGTCAAGGAAGTAGACAGGAGTGCTATGGGCGCTGCAGAGGGGCTGCCTGGGGGAACCCTGCCCTTCAGGCCCGATGTCTCTAATGACCATGGGACATCTTTCTTAAGGAAAGAAACAAAGGAAGATAATCCAGTAGTTATGTGATCAGAAATAGATATACTCACTAAATTCTTACATATCAAAACTGAGGAGCATCTTCTAAAGCACTTCAAACAGCTGATAATGACTTACAGAAATACAGAATAGATTTGGAGGAAGCATTTTAGATGGAGGGGCAAATATACTTGTGCTAATCTATTACTGTATCTTCTTTAGCAGCAATATGTACATCAAAGATATTCTTACATCATATGGCCTTAACCTGAATTACAGCAAATGTTCGTGATGTACAGGTCCTGGAAAACAAATGCCTGCCAAGTAGATAACACATTTCCTCCATTTCTCTACAATTGTTTTCAACTCACTCAAAACATTTAAAAAAACAAAACCATTATTTTGATTTATTTTAAGGTTTCCAATGTAAAGTTTCTAATTTACTATTTTAAAAACTTTTTGGTAAAAATGCTTTTTAAGAAGTGTGTTTCTGAGAAAGAAGAGTAACTGGAAAAAAAGCAGGTTGTTTTCATTTCAAAGATGACAGAGTATATTTAACTGAGCAGTCTATAGAAATACACTCATCAAACTATGATCAGAACATCTAGCCAAGTGAATACAGATTACTAGGTTCAGTAAAATAAATATATTTTAAAAATTCTTTACAAGTGGATGGCGGGACAGATGGCAAAC